TACTAGTATTTATCAATCACAACTCTCTCCCCAGTCTCTTGAAAACTCAGATTTTTGTCCGTATTATTATCATTTACATTCATTTTTTTACAGAAATATCTATATATTTTCTTTTGTTTGTTAATAAATGCACTTGTTGATGTTACATTTCATAAGATTGACCCTTTTCCAGAATTTCATAGATTTTTGTGGTATCTGATTAATTGTATTTAAGATTAATACGTGTTACATTTTCCATTATCTCACATGAACACACTTGAGCAAACCAAGTCTACAATATTCACTTTCAACTTTGTTTTCATTGTTCTAAAGGATCTCTCTTTTTCCATATATTATACTTGTACATGCTTGCTAACTTCTAGAAAACGCATATTACATAGTTTTTAAACGGATACAGTTTTGACATTGGAAACAATCATTTATTTACTGTAACTGCATTCCCGATTTGGCATTTAGCTATTTCAATATATAAACATCGCTGGTTTCTTGTATAAATTATTTTGCATCGTCGATAAAAAAGTAATAAATATGCATTAAATAAATGCTACGAGAATTACATCTACATAATGAAATGCAAATTTCGTCCCACGAGATATTAATTCTGATATCTGATGTGACATAACTGTATATAAGAATAAAAAATTGAAATAATTTTGATCGAACAATTTTCCGCTTTTGAAAAATTTGCTTTTTCTACAAGACCGGGGAATAAACTACGCTCTATCGATGATCTTAATATTGCATGCGATTTGATATTATTTTAGTTGGCTGAACACATTTCAGTTGCCGACAGTCTTCATCAATTTGAAAATGAGTTAAAGAGGCCTCAGTGTGCTTAGAATAATGATGATTGCTATTCAATTTAGAACATTTGAGACTTAAACAATGTTATATTAGTACATTTTATAAACGTGTATGTATAAAGATTTAACTCAACAAAAACTTCATATAAAACTTTCATTGTGTAACAGTAACATTATGTACATTTGTTCTATGAAGCGATAAATTTTATGTAAAAGGTGCATTAAACTAAATGGGCATTGGATTTATGTTGGCTTTAACCATTTTAATCTTTTGAAATGGAAAGGATACGCTTTTTAGCTTTGAGTTTACATACGTCTTTGAAATCTTTATGATGTTTAGTTACATATCGCATTTCAGAAAAAAATCCTTTGGAAACAGTTTGCTTTTTAAGCAGTAACTATAAGCTTTGCTCTGTTCAAACACTTTCCAACTGATCTCCTTTACCGTATACTCATGAGCAGCTCCGTATATTATATAAAAACAAAAACGAAACTCAACTTGCATTGTGCAGTATGCCATAATATTTGTTTTGTATATGTTTTGGATTATACAGTAATGCGTATTCAGTAACAATTTGCAGCGACAATAATTTGATATTTAACCTCATTGTGAGATTTATCGTAAGTTTTTGAATGGATAATTTTCATTTGTTTATAATAATTCTTTTTGATTGTAGATGGTTCCCAAAAGCAAACTTTACGTCTCGTTTTGAATTTGGTATTGAACTCTTGAATTGCTTTAGCACCATTTACCGAATCACATTTCGATGTTCCAATATTAGCACAATGTACAAAAATATGCTGTCTTTGCAATTTTCATGTAGCAGAGAGGACGGACGTCCAATCGTTTCATTTTATTGGATAACGTGTAAAACATTTACAAGTAGCTGAACAGAAAATGTAATTAAAATTTTCTTTTCAACTGTGATACTTAGCGAGGTGATTTAGTAGACGCCTTACAAAAATCTTTCAAGTGTGCATAAACAGTAGGATTTTAAATTTCTCTAAACGTGTGTATTGGAATAAAGTAAACACTTCATATATTCGCATATATCTATAGGTTTATTTAGCATCATGAGCTAAATTTGTAAATTTGTTAATTAAAGAAGTGAAAAGTGAAGCCAGTTAGCAAAATCAATTCAGAAGTATAATGTCATTTAAAGAAAATTTAGAAAGATGGAAAGACAGAAAAATCAATTATTTAAGATTCGGAATATTATTTGTTGTGTATATTATTTACTTATGTTTTGGAGCTATGGTGTTTTCTCTTGTCGAATCACCATTTGAGGAAGATATGAGAAATGATATTTATAACGCAAGAAATTTGTTCAAAGCAGATGCAACATGTATTTCAGGTAATGCGTTTAAATATTGAACCGCAATGGGTATGTTAAAGTCAAAAATTGTAATTGTATCTTAGGTGACGCCTTAAAGGCTTGCATTATTGTCATTTAAAGTTAAATACCTGTAATAATTCATACTGGTTTGATTTGCATATGTTTCTGAGTCATCGTATTTCACCAAACGAATCGCCACTAGTGGTTTGCTTATTAAGTTTTATTTCGGCTGCAGTCAACATAGAATAACATTTGTGGGATGAAAATGATTCTGTTTTTATTGAGCATGCAAGAAGTATATCAAAACACAAGTTATTTTCGATTTCCGCGGTAATGTGCTTAAATATTTTCCTATATTATCTATGACAATGTTAAAGACATTTTTTGCAAAATATGTCTCATTTGTAACCTAAAAGGCTTGCATTATTGTCATAAAAAGTTAAAAAAATGTAATGATTCATACAGGATTTATTTACATAAGTTTTTGAGTCAGGGAATTTCACTAATTGGATCGCCTATTGTCCACATGTGCATGTGATTTGCTTAAAATCAAATTCATTAAAGTATCTTTAAATATAAAATTTAAATATAAATTTAAAGCGTAGTATATCTTAAGAAATAAATTTGGGAAAACATTAACTTATTTTTAACTATGACTATTCAGAAATTCAAACATACGTATCACATGGTATACAGTCAACTTCACATCATATCTTAAGACAATTAAGACATAAATTAGTTTGTGCTTTGTCAAAATTCTTGATTTGAATTAACTAATTTCAGTACTCAATAATAAATAGAAATCGTACGAACATTTAATCGGAATTGACATAGCACGTGTTAATGTCCAACGACATTTAAAGTTGGCAATGATGAGCGTATGAGAAAAATGCTTTTCGGCTGCATGTCTGGTAGCAGTTACGCCTAAGCAATATCAGAGATTTACACTACTCTGTTTGGTCTTGTCCGAAATGTATGTCTGAATGGGATAATTGAGTTCTGTGTCCATCATGTTCAATCAAAAGAAATGACGAATAAGAGGAAAAAAATGATGATTGTCTCTGAGTGGCTCGTTTCATTGTCAGTGATAAATTAAATAGCAGTAAAAGAATGTCTGTTTCCATTTTAAATCAGACTAATACCAAGGAGACTGATATTATACAAGATACTAAAAGGATATGTGATTGCAATTGGCTAAACTGCATTTATAACTAATAATTATTACGATGTACCAATGTTAGAATTGTTAGAAGATGCGTCGATCTAATCTGGTTTCTAGTGTTCTATATGTATTAATTAAATTGATGCAATAAAACAGAAAGACAAAAATTGTTCTAAGATATAATTCTTAAAATTCTTGGAGTCGCGTTTATATGTTTTGCTATGTTTGAAAGTATATCTAATTGTATTATGAAGCTTATATTTACCGGTATAGATATTTGTTTTCATCTATATCTCTGAAGTACCAACACTCCCTTAATTTAATGCAAAAATGACAAATAAAATGATCGCAAATTGCTTTTCACCTTTGCAAGAATAAACCTTCAGGATGTTTATTTGTATTGTTTTTGACATTTCTGCTGTTTAATTCAACAATACCTGTCATAACAAGAGTAGATAGATATTGGTTTGTCATGACGATTTCACATAAATCAAGTCAAATTACGACGTTTTTGTTATTTTGGTATGATAAAAGTTTTGCAATAGAATCATGTTTGAATATAAAAGTTTCAATGTAGGGAAAATGCACAATTAGTTAGGATTTTGACATCTTGTTTGTGAGAGGTGGTTTTCTTCTTTTTTTTGTCTATATTCTATAATGATTCCCTAATGGTCACTTTTTTGTAGTAACGTTAGATAATTATTAAAACTGCATATGATAAGATTTATTTTGTGACTTTATTTCACCACTCTTACTTGTTTCTTTGTTTATCACGAGTTTCATATTTCTTTCTTTTATATTTGTCTGGTTTGTCTATTGGGTGATAAAATCGTATATATAGATTTCTAAAATTGCATCTCCATAATATATCATTTCTCTATACGAGTTACAAGTCCGTCCTGATGCCAAAAAGAACGTTGAAAAGTATACACATATAAGAACAAAAAGTTGTGCCTTTAAATTACATTTGACATTTCATGTATAATGGTATTTACTGCTTCAGCGATAGTGTTGTTGATTTTGAATAATAGCGTTCAGTGAAACATTCATCGTTTTATTGAATGACCGCTGCATTATAATTTCAATACATATTGAAAACACTCGTATTTTAATATTACAAAGACCTTTGATGATGCGTGAACAATTAATATTGATCTCATAGGCAAAGTTAATGCAATGTGATAGTTACATAATATCTCTATTTAATATTCATCTTTTTAAGAGGTGCATTGTTACACTAGACAGTTGTTTAGCTATTATAATTAATACTACGAAAATGGTTTTAAGTAGAATTGGGCAATTATAAACTCCTTTGATACACACAGATATGATATGTGATTATTTGTATCCAAAATAAAATTCATATACTTTATTGGATTATACTTCTACCCAGTATAACAAACACGTGCTGGCACCTGAGTTTGAGCACATAGTGGCTCCCGAGTTTCACCACATTTTTTAAGGTAGCTTAATTGATTTACAGTAAAAGTCATTTCATATTTCCCTCAAATGTAAATGGTATAAATTGTATGCTGCCTACGAGTTTACAAAAAAAAATGCAGGGAAAATAAACATAGTTTATTCATTGGCTACGTTCCTTGAGAAAATGTGCTGCAGTTCAGATAATTTGAAAAAAAGAGAATTTTCTCAGTTGAAATTAATATTGCTTGTTTTTAATATATTGTCTATATTCTTCAGATGCTGAACTAGAAGAATTTATAGTAAAGATAGTGCGTGCCACAAATAGAGGAATATCAGCTGTTAGAAATGTTACCAGCTCGAATCCAAATTGGAGCTTCGGACAGTCTATGTTTTTCGCCGGCACAGTCATTACCACCATAGGTAAGAAAAATAAGTCCTCGTCAAGACAAAACGTAATAATACCCTTTTGAATTAAGCAATAGTTTTTATCTGTCATTCACATATGTTATAGCTTTCCTTAAATTTTATGTAAAATGTATTAATGTGTTTGGTTCATATAGTAATTTTTACATGTACCTTTTAGTATTTTATGGAATAAAACTAGCACGAATAAATACACAGATTAACACGATTAACACTTAAGTGTAGCTTTTGTTTCTTTCCTGCAAACCATTCTTTTCTTGTTATTTTAGGATATGGTCGTGTAACACCATTGTCGGAAGCTGGAAAGGGTTTCTGTATATTATATGCTATCATCGGAATCCCTCTGACGCTTATAATGTTTACAGCAATAGTTGAGCGTCTGATGATACCGACGGCGTGGTTTTTACAATTCATGTTTAGAAAACTAGGACATTTGTACAAAGTATTCCATATACAGCTTCTTCATTTGTCTATTATAATCATCCTAGTCATAGTTTTCTTCTACTTGATACCTGCCGCCATCTACGTCACAATAGAACCCAACTGGAACTATTTAGACGCCTTTTATTACTGCTTCATCTCCTTGACAACCGTTGGGTTGGGAGATTACATTCCGGGAGACTCTCCAGATCAACCACTTCGTCCATTGTACAAAGTAGCCACGACATGTAAGTATTCGGATATTTTATTATCATTGCCAGTTTTTTAACCTTTAATTGTTACACAATTCTTACCAATATATATTCCAATATATATTACATTTTGCAATTTGTTCTATGATTAGTTAAAGTTATATTCTTACACATGATGGAAACTCTTAAATACTTTTGTCTCTTTCTCAATTTTGAATGTAAATTTCTTTTTGTATCCTATTCAAGATATGATGATGTTACTGTCCATATCTCAAATTAATCGCATCTTCTTGTTGCAAGGCTTAGTATAAAATCTTTTCTGCCTAGACATTTAAGCTTTCATTCTAACGATTATGCACTTTAAATTAAGTTTTATAAAGCGTCCTTGGCTAAATTATGTACTGGGATCCTACATGTTTACCGGACAATCAGTTTACCGGACAAAAGCTATTTCTGCTGAATAGTGCTTTTATTTTTGCTTTGATTAAAAAATCATCTGGTCTGAATCATACACACACTTTCTATTTCAAAGTTAATAACAACAAAACCACTCTCAGGTAAATATGGTTGATTCAGTTCTTTATTTACTAACATACCCTTTTGTTTACTAATTATTTCATGACCTGGTCATGCGGGGGAATAATCTATTCTGCGCATGTCCGAATAAAGAGGCCCTCAATGGGTTATTTTAGATAGGTTTTACTTTTAATTCTTCTCCACGTTATCTCAGGAGACAATCGAAACATATTTTAATAATTAAAAGTAATTTTAAATTTAGTCCAAAGAGTATCTCGTTGTTGTCTTTTACAATGAAATGCACATTAAAAAACATAAAAGGAAACGGGTTACGCCCATGGGAGGAATCTCTACATGAATTTACATTTCAGAAATGTAAATAAAATAAATTTTGGCTTTTGTAACATGCTACATGATGACCAAAAAGAAACTGTATGACAAAGAACATAATTCCATTTAAATATACGTTTAAGATTCATTAAGAATCAATACGTTAATTGCGTTAATTAAGTGTTAGTTTCAATGACACCCCATATATTGGCCTCTTCGTTACAAGCATGGCTGCAGTGTCTTGTTTTAGTGACATACTGTTGTTTTTTTCCCAATATCTTAACCTTGCCTTTCAATAGTTGTAGTTTCCTTGCTGATTATCTAAAGATTAATTTCAATTCAGGACTTTAAAAATTTGAAACGCAATGTCCGGTAAATTGAGCTGTCTACAGGATTTTTTCTCTCTTATAATGCCCTTCTTTAAAGACACATTTCTGCCGTCAAATGTTTAATTTCATGTTTGTTAAAGTAATGTTTACTTGTATTAAGAACCCAAAATTATTTGGGTAAAATTCCATTCTTTTTTATTGTTTTAAATAAAAGTTACAGCGAAAAAACATCATATTTTGTCCGGTAATATGTAGGATACCAGTATAGTTCTTGAGTCTAGACATCGCTCTAAGAGGAATAACGATGACAGAATTAAGTATTGTTGGAGCTAGAGAAACATACAATTTTAATTTGCTGTTATTGCAACTTATCTAAAGTAGGTGAAACAGGACAAAGTATCACAACTGTCTTGCGATCTCAATTCTTAGTCACACGTGTCTCAAATGTATGGTTTACTTAAGAATTAATTGACAGACAACGTACATAAATAAATAAAGCAATCTATCTAATAAAAAATATTTTCTCACGTTTGATCGTTCTTATGAATTTCAGTTTATCTTTTCATTGGTCTCATGATGATGATGTTGATTCTCGCGGTACTCTACGAGATTCCGGAACTCAATATTGGGTTCCATTTCTATCTGAAAAGCGATACTGATGAGGACGAGCGAATGCGGTTACAGGCCTCTGCTGCGTCCGGCCAGAAATATTCCAAACAAATTGATGATGAACCAGCACCAGTATCAGAATATCAGGGTATTCCAAGTTTTCCCCGCCCGCAGGCGACTTACCAGTCAACGGATGGTGCTTTACAACAGTCACAATAATTTTAATATTTGTGTTCAGTCTCATTTATAAAGGGGCCAATATTTACATTTTGTGAAAGTTTGCTATGATAAATTTGCAAAGTTTATAGTTAAAAACCTATTAATTTCAAATTGTTAAGTTTACAATTATATGAAAAGGATCGTCCAAACATTTGATTCTGGTTTGATATACTGTCGATTCTTATGAAAGTTAATGAAGCAATTTAGTGTTGCAAAATGTTGAAACAATTAAATACAGTTTTTGTAAATGTAACGTGTATTTACCTATAATACATAGATATTTTACTCGTATTGTCAACGTTTTTATAAAATCGATTTTTTTTAAATTTCAATAAACATTAACTATGTCATAACAAAAAATGCAACACGTTTACAATATTCTAAGAACATACATACTAGTAATTCTCTTATAAGTGTAAATTTGATAAAATACATGATTGTATTATTCCAACAGTTGCAATCTGTTTTGTGTATACATGAGCAACAACCAGATAAAAATAATGAATACATCTTTTGACGGATTCAATGATGTGTTGAAACATGTTTTCAATAATCTCAAACATGAATGCGACAGTGAAATTTAACGCGTATTCACAGAAGTCCAAATCAATATCTGTATCAGAATTAAAAAGTACAAACATAAGAAGAACGAACTCAAACAGATTATGGAAATCAGTTTGTTGCTGATGCATAAGAAGATTGACCAACAAGAGTGCTAATATCCAAGCATAATACAAGGACACAAATGTGTTAAATGACATGTCTGCAAATGAGAGACATGTATGTAAAACTAAGCTCTATGTGTCAATAATTTAATTATGTTATTATTTCGTCTAAATCTAGTCAAAGCTATTTATTAAAATGTTTATTGTATACAAAGTAATGCGATATCATTAAAAAACGTTATGTGTTTTTCAAAGTTTATATCTGGAAATTTCCCAAAATACATTTAGAACCAAAATGTAAAGGAACACGATACCTCTGATGGAAAGGGAAAAAGTTCAAACAGTCAAACAATGTGTTCAGGGAAAATTATAATAATGTTAATCACTTGAGCAAAGAAACGCTGAATATTGAATGATTTGCCACAAAATTAGTAAAATGTTAACATCTATATATAAAAATAAAAAATTCTAAATCACGACAACTATACTACTTGCACAAGATAACAGAAGAAGAAAAATATAGTTCATGTAGGTGATTAGCCAACGAGTAATTTTTCAGAAACTATAACAGGACATAAGCTTCTCAGAATAATAAAAGCATCTCTGAGGCATTATAGGCCTTTAATTTGTAATGCGTTGAAAACACTTTACACAATATCTTCAAAGGAAACCAATATACATTACCATGTAAACATATCATCTGCATTCATTTAAAACAGTGCAAGCTAAACATTATAACAGAAAATGTTTAAGTTTTGCCTCCACACGGGTATCTATTATGAGACGCAAAATTTACAATCTTCAAGGTTTTGCACAAAAATGTAGATGTTTGAAAATGTTAAAATTACTTTTGGATATATATTTAGTTGTAACCGTTCCGAATTTACATTTATATTACATGAACTTTATCTAATTCTTAAGTAAACTGCTAAATTGTTTGATATTTTAGTTATAATTAATGTTTTAAGATAAGAAATTGAAAATATATCTGTTTTTTTACTCTTTACGTTTGTGTTTGCTAGAATTTTATAACATTTTAGATATTCTTGATGTTAATGTTTAAATAGGAAGGTTTATAGTAATTACTTACTGGTTGTGACCTCGTTGTCTTTCTTTCAAATTGTTGATGTTTTCATGTTATTTTTGCAGTTATGATTTGTTACGAATCTAAATAAAAAACATATTATAAATCAATTAAATACATTGCATAAAGGACACGAAGACTGGCATTGAAACATATATTGGTCCGTGAACATAGAAATACAAGATTTCATAAAATTTGAAATCGGTTCTTACATGTCTATTAAGGAATAATGTAAAAAAAGGGTACATAAACAACTATTTCACACGTCAGACGTTTTCATATTGTTACTTTTATCGAACCCTTAATAGGAATATCCTTTTTTGTATAAAATGTGATCAGAGAGATTTTCACGACCGACTGTCACAGGTATAACTAATATTTTTATTCTTTAAAAGTCTCTTAATGCCATATTTCTAATATTCTTCATTTTGTTTACAAGACGATATCTATTATAGCTTACAAACACATCTAAAAGAATTGAATGAATAATAGAATAACTTATAAGTTACTAGAAGCCTCCCTTTTGAGTCAAGTTTAAATATTTCTCTTGCAGAGGCAATGTATTTCGCGATTTTAATGATAATAAAAAGATGAAATGGCGCCAACACTTGTTAAAATAACATATACAGACATGGACATTTCTAATCAAAGTTTATATAATGTACATATTTCCTCTTTGTTGTATGTCTTGTTATGATCATAGATATTTATTGTTATTTAATTTGTTGGCTTCTGCTTTGTTCTGTACTTTCTTATCTTATCTTAACATCTACAATAAAATTCTTAAATGTCGCATTAGTTTTCTATTATTTTGTTGGTTGTCCTGACAACACATGTTCATGTAGCAAAAATAAAGAAAGATGTGCCTTGCCAGGTGATTCATGTGTCCGTCTGACAACCCAGGAACCAAACATTCTCTCTTTATGAGCAAGACCACGTTTCCTAGTACCAAAGGAAGACGTCATATGTGGCAAACTTCTGTACTTTTTTTGTTGGCTGTATATATCGAAAGGTGTTTGTCCCTATTAGGTAAACCATGTAGATAAATTATTTCAAAAATCAGTGTTCAAGAAATTGATGAACATACTCTCTGAACATAAACAATGAATTGATTCATACATCACCAACATTAATTAATCTATATGAATAAAAACATAAATCAAAGTAAAAATACTGACTCCAGAAGATTATAATTAAAAGGTTTAATAATTATAACATAAACAGTTGCAATATATAAAACACATAAAGACAACTAAAGAAACATGCGGTCACTCAAATATGGTGTTTTATAACATATGTTAAACACTATATAAGTTACTATTTAATTTGCTAGAGGAAATGAACAGAAAAATTGATATATGCGTTACGTCTAAGTGTCTACAACAAATGAAATGAATGTAACAATATTTAACTGGCTAATTCACTTATGTGCCAATAATGTTCAGCAGCTATTCTGATAAACAGCAGGGAAATAAAAATTGAGTCTGTAACGTTACATTATTGACAACTATTTAGAAAATCTTATAGATGTCTGTTACGATTCCTTTTAATATTTCATTGTACAAAATGTTAAACTAAACAGGGGTTCATATAATCTGTATTTTAGCTGCACAGTTAGTGTTAAATTACCTACAATATGACTTCATTACTTAAACATATAAGTACACTTTCTATTTAACTGATTTATATTTATCTCCAAATATACGTCCCTCTTTCATAAAATGTGTACAATCTATTAGTTTTGTTCTTTAAATCAACAGCTTTTGTGATGAGAAGATTAATCAGAAAGATTTCAACATGTTCACAAAGAAATCGGACTTAATTTGGAGTTATATGGCGTGAGAGTTTTTGCACTTTCCATCTCTCTCATGAACGAACAAAAGCGAGCCAAGTCTGCAATTTACATTTTTAATCTTTGATTTCATTGATCTCCATGGATCACATTTTTTCCAGATGTTTTCTTATGTAAACGATTGCCAACTTCTTGAAATACCTAGTTTAAGTTATGATCAGGTACAGTTGCTAAACTATTGCAAGAACGATTTGGCTGGAAGTATTTTTCAAAATAATATCAATATATAAAACTCGCTTTTTTCTTGAAGATTTTAATTTGCATCGTCGATAGAAAAGTAAGGAATATGTTTTAGGAGAATTCCATCTGAGAAATAAAATACACACTTTCAGCCGCGAGATACAGATTCTGATATCTGATGTGACATAACTGTATAAGAATGAAGTTGAATAATCTTGATCAAACACAATGAATATTTTGCTTTTGAAATAGTTTTCTACCAGATTGAGGAATAAATATTTCGCTGCCTCAGCGAACTTCATTTTGCATGCGATGTGATATTATTTTGAGTGATTTAAGAACTATTTAATAGCAGACCATTTTTATCAAAATGAGTTATGGTAGCATTAGAGTTTCTGAAATGATGATGTTTTCTATTTCACTTACAATAATGAGACTTACAAGATGCAATTATAGCTTTTGATTTGATAAAGATCTTATTAAGTGTGTTTTTATTTTGAACCTAGCATGATGAAATAGTAACTCCATTAGCTATTTAACATATCAGACACGCATTATGATAAATACATAAAAGGCTCTTGATTCAGAAGAGTAAAAATAATTACAATAATAATATAAATTACATTGAAAGCATAAAAGGTGCCGGTAAACATTTGTTGAACAAATGCTACATATAAACGAAACTTCCATTAATACATGCCATAATACATGTTAAGTATATATTTTAGATTATACTAAATTATAAGTAATGCTTAGTGTGTATCAATTCGCAGTGACAACAATTTATTACCTAATTCTCATTGTGAGATTTATCATAAAATTTTGAATGAATAAGTTTAATTTCTTTGTTATAAATATATAAGATGTTGCTTTTGAAGCAGTATGATTACTTATCCATCAGAGACGCTTTCTGCTAAATATGTTGAAGTAAAGTGTGTTAGAAAAAAGTACACATCACTATAGAGTTTCTAGTATCATAGGGCCTAACAAGTCAGCTTGTTAAGCATTAGTTAAACATTTACCCGACCTCCCTGTCATGCCAGGTCCAAGCAAAAATAACAGACCTCAGCATCTGATTTTAGGTCTGTTAAATGTATGTTGTCTTACATAATGCTAGCAGACCCTCAATAGTGTGTACGTTTTGTTAAATAGAACGAACTAAGTATACGAAAGTTAATTTTAAGATTTCATTTTCAACGACGCCAATGTAAAATAAAGAATCCTTCTTTTTGAAATGGAAACCTTTCGCTTTGATAAAAATGAATGTCGAAATTCACTTGGTTACATTTTACGAACTTTACCGCATAACAGGCTGTTGCTATTACCTTAATTACGGTCATACTGTATAATTTATATTAAACTTCATAGCGGCATTTCAACCATTGCTAACTTGAAACAGAGACAATATATCACCTGTGATAAACACTGTATTCATCAACATAAAACGTAAAGTGCTAAGAAATTAACTGTTTGAAAGTTCCAGGCATTGTAATTGTTGTATTGTCCGTGACGAGTTTGTTAAATCATGTTTTAAATTGACTATAAAATATAATCAATATTCATTGTATTAAATATTTAAGTTATAATGGGTTTAAATAAGCGTAAACTTGTTCAATTTGCATTTATATTTCTAACATAGATCAAGTATTCAGTCTCATTTAAATAACTGTGACGCAGTTTTAATTTCCACAGAATAAAAGAAACTTTTGCCTTCACATTTGCAATATTCATTTAATGTGATTAATTAAGATTGTTTTTCCATTAATGAGTTCTGTTCAGGAACAATATCTACAAATTCTTCATCTATTATCAGTAAGATGTATCTTAAAAATATGTTTCAACGATCAGTTTTATATGGATCTATTATTAAATAAATGTTATGGAATTTTCATAAAACTTTTTATTGGTTTGAGATACTTGTCTTCACAGAACCCTTATATCTATGCTAAAAATCTTAATTAATAACAGTTGATTAATATTACAACAAAAACATGATGACTGTTAATAAAACCACTATTACATCTTGTGTCAGTTTCTGCTATAAATTCTTACATGTCTATTGTTACCAATATTGTACCAAACCTTATAGACATTTGTAGTAGGTTTAATTTGCCTTATACACTTGCTTCTTTTATATTGACCTGCTCTTTCCTTTTTATAGTTGAAGTACATGATCGTTACTATATAGATCGCTTAATTGGATTAAAAAATGTCGTGTCATTAATGCAATATGATTACGACATTTGTTGCTTGAATGGAAGTGTAAATAAAGAGAGTACTTCTACCATTGATCTGCACATTAATTAGTTTGCTGATGACAGATCAATCAAACTAGCTCACTGAACTAAAAGCAATATTCAGATCAGGATAGCATTTGCCAGAACATGTTTCTGCCAAGAGCAGTTTACAACATAAGCTATATTTTGTTATTGTGTCCAAGGACCAAAAACAATGTCGCTAATTTTGCCTATAAAACGGTTTTCTGAACATGCTTCTGCCAAGAGCAGTTTACAACAATGTTTTCACATACTTCATGTTTTGCTATTGCCAAAGGACCACAACCAATGTCGCTGTTTTTGCCTTAAAAAGATCTCTTCTAAAAAAGTTTTCTGAAGTGCTTCTGTCTAAAAGAATACAATCAATGTCGCTCTTTTTTCCTCACAAAGATCCTTATA